TATATATTCTGAAGCAGAACCATCATCCTTGCTGAGATGGGAAGCCATCAGCCAAGACTGCAAATTTTAAACCAATTGCTCCTCCCCAAGGGCTAAAATGGTGCAGACTCCATTTTCTGATCCTATTTTAAGTCTTCTGGTGGATCACATATTATGTATGAAATGCAGACCCCCCCCCAAAAAAAGAGAGAGGAAATCTCTTAATAATATTTACCACAAGAAACTTTGAGGCCCCACCTGGTTTCTTCCACGGTTTGTCTTCAAAGGACTCTAAATCCACTTCTATTACAGGCAAGCCGTTTATATTCCCCGCAGCCTCTAAATCAATACCTTTGGGCTGCGACTTGGCTTTGAAGAAAAGGAAAGAGACGATGGGTTAGCGAGCGCCAAAGGTTTTATTATTTCTGGTTCATACATTTGGCGAACAAACTGTTTGGCGTCCTTTTAATATTTCCTCCCTTCTTCTCCCCTGGACTTGATCCCATTTGTGAGCATAACGGCAACGCCGGCTGCGTCCGCACTGCAGAATTATTCCAGTTTGAGACCACTTTAACTGCCCTGGCTCAATGCTATGCAATCCTGGGAACTGTAATTTTGTGAGACATTTGGCCTTCTCTGTCAAACGACAAATCCCAAAATCCCGTAGCATTGAGCCATGGCGGTTAAAAGTGGTGTCAAACTGGATTATTTCTGCAGTGTGGACGCAGCTATTTCAGAATAGCTTGTTTTGGGGTAATATTTGACCAGAGGGAAGACAATCTGGCAATAACTTTGAAAAACCCAACGACAGCAATACCTGAAGCAGGTGCTCCGTAGCCTCGACCTGTTTTTAGGTTCAGGTTCATTGGGGTCCCCCTAAGGAGGAGAAAAAGGATCAGAAAATGCCTTCAGACCGGAATATATTTCTATGGGATATCCCCCATGTTTTGTTTTTGTTTGTTTGTTTGTTTGAACAAGGTGGAGGAAAACCAAAAGAAATGGGCGCACGATGGAAATCCAGGTATGCACCATGAACAAGGAGCCCTTCCACACTACATAATTATAGTGCTATGATTCCACTTTAATGTGCCAAGGAGAAGCCCTTTTCCAAAACAGGGAAACATCTGCAGGAGAACTGCACAGGAGGACCTACCAAAAAGCGGTCTCTCTAGGAATCTCTAGGTCCTCCGGCGCAACATCTGGTGCATGTTGACCATAGAGTCACGCTGGAGGACTGTCCTAGAGATTCCTAGAGAGGCCACATCAGTGAATAATCAAACGCCACAAAAGTCAAAGCCCCAAATGTGGAGGGCCGTGGATGCACAAGTCCCATTAAATATATTCTAATTATTCTAATTATTATTATTATTATTATTATTAGCCCTTAATATCCACTGGGGTTTGGTGCCAGGATCTCTCCATGGGTGCCAAAATCCGTGGATGCTCAAGTCCCATGAAATGCAATGGGATATTATTATTAAGAACTTTCCAGGACTTAAAGACACGGTAAACGAAGGCATTTTATTCTTTTTTTGCAGGGAAGAAATAATAAGGCAGCCTAAGGTTTTTTGGGGAGGGGAAGGAAATTATTAGGGAAATTATTGGGGAGGGGAAGGAAATTTTTGGGGAAGGAAATCTCTAGCCTCCTCTAGTTGCCCACATTTGGGAGGAGGACAGCAAAGTTAAGGAGGAGGAGGAGGATGGCACAGCGGAAGTCAAATTAGGAATTTCTGAGCTGCCAAGCCAAGAGCTGGGCATTTGCAAGACCCAATCCAACGCACATGTAAGAAGGGGCCCCCGTTTTGATGTTGCCGATCGTGACCCGAATGTCATCATCGTCGCTGTCGCTGTCGCTGTCGCTGTCGTCTTCGTCATCTTCTCCCCCCGGAAGGACCTACGGAAGAGAGAAAGCCAAGGAAACGGACCTTAAAAACAGTTGCTCGGTCTCCTTTATGCTTCCATCCTATGGAAATCTGGGAGCTGTAGTTTGATGGAGAGTACTTAGACTCCTGTGCTAGAGAGCTCTCTAGCAAATAATTTCCATTATCTTCCTAAACTACACATCCCAGGATTCTGGTGCATGCAGCCACAGGAGTCCAATCGGCATCAATCTGGAATAAGTGTCCAGTGCAGATGGGTATCATCCTAAATCTGCTTCATTTTGCAAAGACAAACCAGTATGAGGCAGGAGCGCCCTCTGGTGCCCACTTAGAATTACTGCAGGAGAGGCTGGTTTTGGAAAGAAAAAAGGGAATTTCCTGGGAGAAGAGGCTGAAAATTGATCCCCAAATGACACTTTTCCTTCCTGAAAGTAGAATTCCCAAGACAGGGAACTCTTGGCTGCCAGATTAGCTGCAGAGATCATTGAGGTGTTGGATGGCGACTCTGGGGAACTGGATTCAAATCCCTGTTCTGCAATTGAAACTTTGGGTGACTTTGGACAGGTTTACATGAATGAGTAGAGATGAAAACCCTGGTCTCCTGCAGTCCTAGTCCAATACTTAAAGTCATTTCCAATTTATGGCAAGAGGCTTTCTTGGCAAGTTTCTCCAGAAGGGGTTTGCCATTGCCATCCTCTGAGGCTGAGAGAGTGAGACTCACCCAAGGTCACGCAGTGGATTTCCATGACTGAGCAGGGATTTGAACCCTGGTCTCCAGAGTCATAGCCCAATGCTCAAGCCACTATGCCACACTGGCGTAGTATATTAGAATATTAGCATATTATTTTTGCATTTTATAGTATTGTGCTTTATCGTCCGTTTTTGATAATATATTTCCTGCAGTCCTAGTCCAATACTCTGTGTGTGTTGCATGCCTTCAAGTCATTTCCAAATTATGGCAACCCTATGGTCTATCATGGGGTTTTCTTGGAAAGATTTGTTTAGAGGAGGTTTGCCATGGCTTTCCTCTGAGGCCGAGAGAGTGTGACCAGTGGGTTTTGCGGCTGAGCTGGGACTTGAACCCAGGTCTCTAGAGTTGTAGCCTAATGCTCAAACCACTACACCTCGCTGCCTCTCCTTGCAATACTCTTTACAATACTATGGTCCTTGCAAAAAGAGCACTGCTGGCTCTTATTTGTCCTTGTTAGGTGTCTTAAAGGTGGCTCAATCCTAGGGTTTTCTTGGCACAATTCTTCTTCAGAGAAGAAATTTCTTTTTTTTTTAAATTGTATTTTTAAAATTTTACAAATAAAACATGAAATGAAATATAAAATTCAATCACTTGTACACTTATTCAAATTCCTATTCCTATTTTCCATAATGTTATGAAAATCAAATAAAAGTAAATTTACATCATCCTAACTCTTAAATACATAACATTATAAATTCTTTGTTTCTTCACAGGAAAAGAAAAACTTATTTCACATTTCAATTTATGACTTCCTTTTTCTACTTATTTGGCTCAGAGAAGTTAGAGTCTGACTATCATTTTTGCCCTATTAAACAACATATACAGTATATTAATTAAACCATTTAACCCAATATACACTTCTAACATTATAATATATATATATATATATATATATATATATATATATATATATATATATATATATATATATATATATATATATATATATATATATATATATTTATAAAGTATAATAGCTTTCCTCTATTTCCATTGCCAGATGATTATGTATGTTTGGGACGTTGTAATGTGTGGAGTTATGTTGCCTTTTACATATTAATAAAATGAAAATAAAGGATGGCCAAAGGATTGGATTGGACTCACTTGCTGCAGCAAGTCTCGATCTTCGCAGTGGATCATCCTGGTCTCCTTGGGAAGGTCTTGCAAAGGGTGGCATTCGCCGTGTCTGGAAAAGGTACGACAAACACAAAGACGAGGACAACCTTTGTTGGCTTGGGACCCCAAAAAGAAAGATTTAAGACTTGCAGTGGTTCCCAAACTTTGGTCCTCCGGATGTTTTGGACTTCAGTTCCCAGAATTCCTGACTGTGGGGCTTCTGGGAGCAGAAGTCCAAAACACCTGGAGGACCAAAGTTTGGGAAACACTGATTTTAGAAGAAAACTTTGGCTAATATCACCCCTTTAAAAAATCCATCATTGCTATTGGGCACATTCTACCAAATTTGGTGGGACTCTAGTTTTGCAAAAACCTTTTGGGAGGAGATTCATAGAGCAATGGAAAAAAATATTAAATTGTAGCATAAAGAAAGACCCGGTGAGATACTTATTAAGCATAAATCAAGAAGAAAGACTAGAACGCAACTATGGTAGACTGATTTTTACTATGACCACAGCGGCTAGAATAACTTACGCATCAAAATGGAAGCAAAAGATAATACCTGGAATCAGTGACTGGATTATAAAAGTATATGATTTAATGGAAAGTGATAGGTTAACTCAGATCTTACAGAAAAGGCCCTTTAAAGAATTTGAGAAGGTACGGAATCCTTTTATTGTATATATAAAGCAAGAATGGGGACAACTATGGGGGTTAGATTTGGAAAAATAACTATATAAGATATATTAACTGAGAAAACAAAAATTTTGCAAAATACAGTGGTACCTCTACTTACTAAATTAATTCGTTCCAGCAGCCATTTCTTAA